TCTCATTATGTACTGATATGTCATAGTGTTGCCTGTTGTTACAGCTGTATGGTCCCAACATCTACTAGAACTATTACAATTTCCAATGAATTATTTCAGCGGATCTTAAGTCAACGCAACCATACCATACAGACTGTTAAATCTTTGCCTGCTTTGTCAATTTTCCGGAGATGGTTGTTTAAGGAATAATAAGCAAAAAAAACCCAATTTTCTTTGCTTTTGGGAACGTATCGAGTAGTTGAGGGTTTTTTGTAAATCTGCAGCTTTATTCAGGGAAATCGGTACAATGTATTTTATTCAAAGTATTGCTCATCGCTAGATTCGAATGTTTTCCATCTTCAGGCAGCATATATATTCCGTGACAAGAAAATATTTGGGCTTTCGAGGCGATTCAAGAATCAGCCCAAATTTTAAATTTCTCTTAAAACGTGAAATGCTTTTCGGCCAGACCAATAGTCATCGACCGCAACAAGCGGTGGTCGGAAGAAGCAAGTAAATATGGCGGGTGGACTATGCGATCCCTTTGAAGTGACAATGTCTGCAATATGTGGCCGAGTACTGCTTTGCTGGAAGATTACTTTGTCAACTCTTTTGGCGTATTGAGGACGTTTGAGCTTCAATTTTTGGTTCAATTGCGTCAATCGTTGTAATGATTGCATCATGAACCCAGTATTACGTTCTTGCCAAGAATGTTCGCAGTTGAAGCTGATGCATGGCCTGTTTTTCGCTGCACTTCGCTTGCACTACGGATGCAACTTTCGTCCCTGCAACCATTACGATTTGGCGTTGAAGCAGTCGTTCGCCTGTTAAGAAATGGTGTTCGACATCTTTTAGCTTGAGTTCATGCGGAATCTAATTTTTATTTTTTTTGCATCATATTCATGGCCTTGAAATCGCTTTTTAAAAGAAAGAATGTCGTTTATATTTCACCGAGATGTCATATACTGATTTGTAGAGGGTAATGATGACGCTACAACGGGCATATAGTCACCAGATGGTCTAAAGCGTTTCGATGATAGTTAGGCCAGCTTCCGACCAAGACAATGCTTACCACAAAGATTGCGCAGAGGGAGGGAGGGATAGACGGACTCGCTCAGATCGATTCACAATTTGGCATTGATTAAACTTGCTTAAGCCTCCTTCTGGCCGTTGCAAACTTTTGGACGAAAAGGGAATGTCTTCCCCATTCTTCGGATTGGTTAAGATTCTTGAGCGATAGTGCGAAGCATTTTCTTGATTTTGACCCCCCGGCGACTAAATGTGAGTCGTAAGGCTTTCAACTGTTTAAATAATACTTTGTTGCGGTCTTGTTATCTAATCTAATGGTTTGTTATGACAAACCGTTGAGGTCATGTATTCTTATCGCTTTCCTAATAATGTACGAAGTCTCTAAGGATATATACTACATATAGTGTATATGACAACATGCATTTGGTCACTTCCAAGAAAATAAAAACGCATCCTTACGTGAGACGTCGTTATTATTGTCGTAATATATTTTATTGACAGATACCGCTACGTCCGCTATGTACATTTCAAACTCGCTTGGAGGGACGGCATGCGGCGAAATGTCTTTGATACGCTATTGACTTGCATTAGAAATGTGACCAATTGTCTACAGTAACGGCCAATATCCGTTGAAGAAACAAAAACAAGTACAACGCCTACTCATACCCTTGCTTGGTAGCAAGTAACAACAGAGTAGAAGAAAAACATGACACAACACAAAAGCCAGAGATTTCGTCAATTTATTTTTAAAAAAGAAAATGAAACAAAATGAATATAAAGTCTTTAGACTGAATTACTGAATGACAACAACAAGTGGCTGTTGATATCGGACCAAGTCGGCAAGTAAACGCACGTACATACGCATGTAGGTGTACGTGTAACTCATATACAAAGTAAGTTTATGTGTTTATGCATATTTTTATGTGCGCATGTTTGTATGTGTCTTTTAATAAAGCTCTAAGGAATTTCATTATATGTAAGAAAAAAGTTTATATCTTCTATGTAAATTGATGGGCATGCACACAGGCATACAAATTCATTAAATATTTATATAATTTGCGATATGTATACAGCACTCGTGTACGTGTGTATGTACATGTGTTTGTACATACATATATATATATGTATACATATATACATGTATATGGATAGAAAAAATGCAACAGGCGGTTTCATATTTTAACCTTTACTAACATGCGAAGCGCATGTTCACCTCATAGCATTCATATCGAAAAGCTTCTCATTTTAAAAATTAAACATTAATAGAAAGCTTTCTTCCGTTCCTTAATCAAACTGTTGCGTATATGTTTGGTTTTGTTTGTTTCTTTGTTGCATATATTTACCCACTTTCATCGCATTATCATCTCTCAAAATACGAATTCAAGTAAATGTTAAAAATCAATAATCACTTCGTTCAAGAGCTTTCCTTTTTTTTTTTTATTCCTGAGAATGTTTCCGTCTACTGCTGCACACGACAACCTTTATTACTAAATAAAATATTGTGTGTGCTTGTGTGTTGGACATGCAATGGAAAATCAGCTGTCCATTTTTTATCAGCTAACGTAAATGACTCAAACTAAACTAGGAGCCTAAGTAAACCAAGTTACAGAAGTTACCCTCACCTTAAGGCGAATGTTGGGCACTTATCGTCTAAGAGAAGTTAACAAAAAATGATTTTTCTTATTTGTCAATATTTATATAAAATATTTAGGTCCTATCGATAAAAATTGCTATCGAGATTTGAGCTCATTCCATGAATTTCTTCTTCTCTTACCTACGTACCCTATGTCATGGCGAACGCATTTTTCTGCCCCAGTTGTATATTGCCCCCTTACGTAAATCTTTAAGTTTAGGATTTAAACAATATTTACTAATGCAAATGTCAATTCTCAAGAACACGGAGATCAAATTTCATTTGAAGATCGAACACAACTGACTTGCAATGATATATATCAATCGATTGACAACGCTAACCATTATCGTATGTTCTTCTGCCCTAAACGATCGACTAAGGCACATAAGTGTCTTGACAAATGAAATTTCCTTGCTCCCCTGTGACCATTGTACGCCTAATAGGATCTCTAATCCCCTACCGTGGATGTAACAAATGGGATATCAAACCGAGTTTACAACCATTGTCTATTAGTGTAAACTTAAAGCTCTAGAGTCTGTTTTCGAGCATTACGCGAAAGAAACAAATATCCTCTTTAAGTACACTAACGTTCAAAACTGTTGAAACTGATAGGGCAGCAATTAGTTGTAGTGTAATGCCAGTCCTAAACGCACTGAACGTGTTCAAGTGTTTTATAACGTATTCATTATGTAGTAAGTTTGAAACCGTTTTTGAAATGTTCTCCATACTTTGGAAATTTCTTTGCAGATTTGTGATTTTAAATCGAATCGATATCCTTTTTAATGCTTCACCAGCCGATAGTCTATTAACAGTTTTTTTGTTGTATACGCTTATCATCCGAAACATCCTCAATAAATATAAGAGAAGATTTAATCAAATGCAAAAATAAACTACTAAAAATGTATAATGAAAAATAATAGCCGGCTGTCTTGGCTGCAAACAGCCATTTTTTATTTGATATTGAAGTACATTTGATTACTTTGCTCTGCCACCTCCCATCATTTTTTTATATCATTTTAAACAGATATTCCGTGCGACAGTTTAAACCAGGACAGAGACGGCCGGGCGGAAAAATATTAATAAGTTTAGCCACAGAAGGAATTGCTCTTATAAAGCTTTACGATGTACCTCCATATAACTTTAATTTGGACTTTTCCTTACCGAAGGAGCCAGAGCCCGGAGCATAAGTAAACCTATGATCCGTTTCAAATGGATTCGTTCACTGTGACTTATAAAAATGCTGAGAAATATATTGTTATAAGGAAAACAAAGAATATGAGTAATTTTTCACTTAAACTTCGCCGATGCTATGAAATTATGTAATTAGTGTATTTTCTTTTTTTAGACTGGTAGCAGTGTCTCCGCTGTTAGCTGCATTTTATTTCAATATATGCAATTGCTGCGGGGTTACACAACGTCTTTGAAAGAACGATTTCTGATTACTAGGGTATCGTAAAATGCTTCCTTGCCAAAAAAGAGACTTGATTTCCGGCATAACGATCCGAAAATAACCGACCAATTGATTATTTTCTTTAACTATAGCGGTGTTGGGCGTTGTGGAAATCTTCCGCCGGCCCAAAATGTAAGCTATGAATATTATTTCGGTGTTGTAACCTAAGGCTTGGAAATATAAATAACGATTTTTTCTTTTAATAAAAATATGCACCTTAAGAATGAAAATTTAATAATGAAAACGATGACGAAAGCAGTTCAATATAAGAATAATTTTAATGAATAAGAGAGAATTAAAAAATTGCACTTCTAAATGACGTCATAATGAATTTTTATTAAGTGATTCAGTTTTGCTTTACACTATAAAGTGTTACTCCGAGAGTGTGTGTGTGTGCGTAGTAATTGACATTAAACCTCCCAAGAAGAGCTTTTTATATTTCGGGTGGAAATTTTTGTATGCAAAAAGAAAAAAAAAAAAAATTGAAAACTTGAACTAATGCGATACACGGACTACATGTCGTATACTTAGGAATCCAACCACCTCTGTAGCCCATCTCTGTCGTACTGAGTGTGAGTTGATAGCTGCGTGAGCGTTGCCCATAGTATAATGTGTTGGATAGTGTTGTGAGCTGAAAACTTTTTTTCTGCCACGGCATACAAAGCGAAACCGTTCAGTAGGACAGCAGTCCTTCGGTAGTTAGATTCATTGTCGTGAAGAAAAAAGAAAGGAAAACAAGGAAGAGAAAAAAAAGAAAAAACATTATTTATATTAAATGAAACTAATGCGGAATAGAACTACAACAGTATCAAATTAATTATAAATGAATGATAAAAATAAAAATTTATATCTATACCAGATGGCAAGCGCAAAAGTTTAAAAACTTTCAAGAGCACAATAGAGCAAAAACAAAAACAGAAAGAAAAAAAAAAAAAATAGAAGAAATCGTATATTATATATATGTACGTTGGCAAAGTTAACTAAAGTGAAAGTTTAAGATAAAAAGTGAAATTTTTTGACAATATTTTTATAAAACTTGACAAAAAACAGACATAGCAGGAGAGTTGGTTAGCAGAAAGCTTTAAATAAATTCAAAAAAAAAACTTCACGGGTAGCAGAAGAAAAAAGAAAACGACAAGAAAATTTATTTTATTAACAATATGTTTAGTTCTAGAAGCTGAAAAAATATAAAGAAAGCACTTTTTTTTTTATTTGTTTTAAGCAATTAATTTAAATTTGAAATTTGATTAAAAAAAATTATTGATTTGTTATTATATCGTTTTTCTTATATTATTTTAATTTGAAATAAGAGAAGAAGTTAAATATATTTCACAGGCATTTACGTCTTTAATATAAAAAAGAAAATGTGATCGATGTGGGTGGGTGTTGTTTTTATTTTTCGAGCATTTCCCATACACACTATAAGGTGCGCAGCTTTATGACATGACCCACAACCTTAATCTTGCTTATACGGCTACAGAAGGCAGAAGAACTTCTTGACTTTTAATAGCAAATTTTCCTACAATATGTCGAAATTCCAAAAAAAAAAAATTCTACTCAAAGAAATTGAAAGACTTGCGTTCGCCGCCCCTGCCGATTCCCTCCACGCACAGATGATATAAATAAAATAACGTCAAATGTTTTTAATATCAAAACGATGATGCAGAGAGTATCTATCTTACTCTGTGTACTCTGTATTTTCACCTCATTTACTTTAACCCCAGATGGTTTCAGGCGGCATAAAATAACGCAAATGTCAAAACAAACATAAAAACGATACCAAGCCACCCACTTACAACTTATGGGAAGAAACGCCTTCAGTTTAAATAACACACACAGTAGGAGACAAAGGTAGCTTCGTAAGGAATGGGAGATTGACGAGGAGTGTGACAGTCATACCACCAGCACCACCTTTTTGCAACGTCATCATCAGGTTTAAAGCTTTATTCTGTGAGACTTTGCATATTAACGTAAGACATCCGTGTAAGCTGGACCAACACAACCGGTGCAAACACGACGGCTGCTCTTATCGAAAAACATCGAATTTGAAAGGAAACATAATTAAAATTAATATATAAAATTATTTTTTTTTGAATTTATTAACTTTTTTGAAGTGAATTATCTCGAGTTTAAGCAAATTTTCATAAACTCATTTCTTTCAGTTTTCTCTCTCTCTTTCTCTCGTTTTCTTTCTGGAGTTTCACAACCAGAAACATTATTTTGATATAATCGTGGAAAAAATGGTGTAAATTAATGGTGCATAATAAACGTGTTGATTCAGAAAGCGAGGTAAGTGCTATAAAAAATACGAAGAAAATAAAAAAAATAAAATTTAAAAGAAATCCGTTTTCACTATTTTCGTGGATGGATCATTCTGATTCCCTTACAAGATTCGTTTTTAAAATCGTTTCAATAAGTTCCATTAGTGATTGGTTCAGCGGTACAAATAATTGTGTGGAGAAGATCGGAATTATTTTTGATGAAAAAGATGGTGTGTGAGCATGACAGCTTTGAAGTTATTGGCACTGCCCGTAGATTATTGTTACCCTTATTTGTACAAATGAATGGAGAAGCTAGCCTTGGACGTCCGTAAATGAATATAACGGTTTCATGAAGATGGTATAGAGTCTGATGTACGTAGATGATAGAGGAGACTACAATGAGATAACGGATAAATTGATAGAAGAGGGACGAAACCGGATGATGAGTTAAAGCAGACATAACAAGGCACAAGTTAATGGAGAAGGAATATCCCAATATGGGCATACTGCTACCAGTGAATTCGTATAGTTTGGCTGAAGGATTCAAATGGTTGTGTGTAAGAAGATCGGATTTATTTTTAATGAAAAATCGACTGCAGAAAGAAGATAGTGGGTGAGCATGACAATTTTGATGCGAATGAGAAGCTTATTGACGCTACCCTTAGATTCTTGTTACTTTTATTTGTACATACGAATGGAAAAGCTAGGCTTGGACATCCATTCATTGTAATGTTTGCAGTGTAAAAGTTAAAAAGTTTTGCTTTGGTTACAATTTGGCCGAATGGTGAACTCTTTTCAAGATGGCTCGTATCAGTTCGCTTTTTGACTCTTTCCCGATATAAAGCCCCATTTTCAGAAATCGTTCTAGGCATAACGAGTCCATGTAGAGTAATGTTAGGTATCTGATGATGGACTGTGGTCCGCTGTTTTTTACTTTCCTTCATCCCATACTTGACTTCATAGCATAAAAATTTATTTGAATTTTACAAAGGTTTTATTTCTAGTTTTTAAAACTTTCTTAATCTTTTAAATAACCGAAATTTTCGAAGTTATATTTGATTATCTGAATATGGAAAACTGTGTGCAAAAATTTGAAATATTCTATATTTATAAATATTCTCATATTTAGTAAAATTTTTAAAGTAATTTAAAAATTAATTAACATTGAAATTTTAATTATCCAAATTTGTTTTACTGCTTCTTTATTGCTACATATATATAAAAAATTGTAATTAGTTAAAATCTTACAATCTACTAATATTTTCTTAAGTTTCAAAATTTCTTAAATTATAAAATCTTTAATCTTTATAATATTTGAAATTTATTTTAAACTTTGTAAAAGATTCTTGATTTTCTAAATTCTCAATTTTTTTCAAATCCCAGAATTCCTTAAACTTTAAAAACTTACTAAACTATTAAAATTTAAAATTTTTTTTTAAATTTTTCCATTCATCTTTTATCTTGTATTTTTAAAATATTGTAAACATTTTTTACAACCTATCAATTTTCGAAAGGAATTTTTCTTCCATATTTTAATTTGTTTTTTTTTTTGTTTTCGAAATTAATTAATATTCCAAATGTGCTTCGCAAAGTGTAAAAGCGTGAAGCAATGAACAAATTTCCTGAATCCTGTGCTCGAATAGTATGAAAGCATTACAAAAAAAAGGATCGTAAATATCTGTTATGGAATGTAGATAGATATGCTTTTCAGTTCGTAAAAGCAGCAGCAGTAGCTTTTCGTTATTAACCATGAGTTGTGGGCTTTATCAAAAACTTTCGTAAATTACAAGCTTAGCGTAGGTGTTTATGGGAAGAAAGCTTCCAAACTGCGTTCTCGTACATAAACTTGAATATCGTAAACTTATTTCTAAGTTACGTATACCTCCTGTTGATTCCTTAATCCACGATGAAGTTGTTGTTGTCATACGATTGCACGTTGTGCACCGAAAAGCTTTATTGCATAGTTTACGGAGCTTTTTTTTTGTAATGGAATTGGAAAATAATAAAAAAAATAGCAACCAACGGTTTCTTGCCGCTTTGGCACGACGCCTGAAATCAGTTCAACCAGGAGAACGTCACAACTACATGTAGTTGAACGGTTAAATAAGATAAAAGAATTTGAAAGTGAAATGTCACTCGCTTCATATCTCTGCTCAACAAAAGTGCTCAGGATGCGGAAACAAATTTCATTTTAATATTTTAATTAAATAAATAAATCATTTACATTGTGGCGATAATTTCCAATCTCAACTGTGTTAATCAGACAGACAGGGGCGATGGCTATTACTCGATATTTATCTAACATATGGCAAATGTTAGAGTGGATGCCGTCGCTTGGGGTTATCAGTAAATTCGTATAAGCGGTAAGTGCATGTGTTCAATACTGTGCCCATTCAATGCATTCATATTAGGACACACTATAAATAATTTATATAATTGATGGCCCAATAAATGATAAATGTTGTCACTTATCCATTTTTGCTGCTCGCATTTCTTTCTATCACTTTAATCCTTACATGTGTTCACACGTGGCTACAGTTGCAATGTTCATAACTTTATGAATTATTGCTTTCAGCATTTGTCTTTGAAGTTCGCGTTTCCGTACTAATTTTATAGTTTAAAGCATTCACTAATGTCAGAAACTCCTTGAGAGGTGCTTTAGTGTTTTCCTCTTTCGCGTGCTTGCAAACAATAGGGCCGCCTACTATTTCGCTTAGCTCTTAAAATGGCAAAATTTTCTATTTCAATTTTGCTTATGCAATGCGTTTTTAAACTTAGCGACAATAAATTTTATTTAGGTAATCTACGTTTTATTACTCATGTTAGTTGTAAATGTAGAAAATCGTAGATAAAATCTAAAATTTGCTTAATAATTTTTTAAAATAACATTTATATTGAGAACTTTAAAGATCGTATGCACTTGTTTTTTTTTATTTCAATTCCCCTCGATTCTTCCTGGACTTGCAAGTGGGAGCAAAGTTGGGAAAAATTCACTTTTCACTTTTTAAGAAAGGAATCGCACATCACGCCTCAGAACAGAGTTGAAGTCGAACTCCTTCATTTGAAACAACTTCGAACACCTTCGAAAACCATAGAAAATTAAAAAAATATATACTTTTGTTAATACCAGATATCGGTCGAAGTTCAAAAACTTGTTCTTCATTCATAGCAAACCTTTTCCGCCTGTTATAAACGTCATTTACAATTACAATGAGTGCAACACATGAAGCCCGTACGTACACCTTAGACTTTTCATTTGTTGCTTTCTAAACTAGCAAAGATAAACAAAAGTGGTAATCATTAATGGTGGTAGCTGGCAGAATACGCTTGAACATACACTTAACATTCGTTTAAGTGACCTAAATATATTGGATCTTATGCGCTAGGGCCGAAGTACGCTTGAAGCTTAAGACTACCGACGGGCCGATCAGAATGAAAAGCATCGCAATGAGATTGCAATTTTCGCTAAGACTTCCCTCAAGGCATTTTTCTGCTAGCAGTGCTCATCTTTTTAAAAAGTTGTGACGCGATTTTTGATTTTTCAAGAATCGAAAAACAAAATGCATAGAAAACAGTCGAAAGTTATATGTTAACGGGAAACAAGTTTCCCCTTTCCTTATTCCGTGGTAGAAATAAAATGCCAATGAATTGTTTATCTCTTGAAGAATTTTTTGGAGAAGTAGACATATGGAACTAGATAAACTCCAGGATACACACACATTTCGTCGGTTCATGGCGCAAAACTTTACATATTAATTAAATAATGACAGTGTTCTTAGTGTGAGTACTTTAACAATAATGAGACAACCGGACCTGCGGACAGACAGTGTATATATTTGGGCGGTATAAAGCTTGCTAATTAAATGATTACAGCTCCTTTCCGCATCCTACAGCTGCTTTCTGCCTCGTAATTGGACAGACAGACAGATAATTGAGATAGATCTACATATCTTTCAGTGGGCGAAATAAAACGTTGAAAATTTACGCATTAATTAGATGACGATAGTTTTTTTAACATGAGAATTCTGACACCAGGCACATCGGTACATAGAACGTATAGAAAAACATCGAGATTACAATAGGCGGTATTGCGGTAATTACGCAATGACCAGCCAAAGAAGTTTGAGCAAGTTAAGGATTACATAAGGTACTATAACAGCCGATGTCAGGATATTAGCCGAAAATGTACTCACATATCGTAGAAAAATATTCTGTTTTCCACATCCCCTGCCGGGTAACTGTTCGATGATATTTTTCGTTTGTTTGTCAATCAATTGGGTGGGCTACCACCTTATAAAGGCAAGGTTTCTGTGAAAAGTTGCACGATCCCAAGTTGTTTTCAAAAAAAAGTTCAATTTCAGTGAGAACCGCTCACTGGAAGTTCTAATACTCATGGCTTCCGACATGAGATTTCCTTTATCAATTTCCCAACTATTTCCGAGAACAGAAAAAGCAAATTTCATTGAACGCACTTTAAGACTTAAAGCTCAAATTATTCACGAAAAATCATTAAAATCGTTTCCGAAACATGTTAATAAAGTTCTGTGTAAAAACAAAACATTCGCATGATAACATACCTAACAATTTTAATTAATCGCCCTTAAGATGTATGCGTTGCATAAGCGATATCGTTTCACAAGAGAGTGAGCTTACTCCCAGAAAAGGAGATTTCAGCCCATTATTCATATGCAGTTTTCATTATGGGCAGTGGCGCGTAAACTTACGGTGTTGCTATTATTGTCGCAGCGTTCTTGCCGATTCAAGGCTTTAAATTGCGTTCGCTGCCATAGCAAAACCATAGGACACATATAGGCTGAACATCATTCGTTAATACATTCATCGCCTTTGATCTTTGACACTCCCAGGCCAGTTTGATTGTCACCGCACATATACAAGTTAATTACAAAGTGAAACGACACACATGTAATTACATATTCTTCTTGTGTTTGCTAACATCCGCAATCCCCGGAATTATATAGTGTTTCACAACATCATACGGCATCAACAGATAAACTAGAAGAAAAAAGT